CGGCCGGCCAGGGGGCCGAATCCCTGAAGAAGAAGAGGCGTCCGCCCAACGCCCCCCCCCCCCCCCCCTAAATCTGCCTCTGCTGCCCACATAGTAACTACGAAATTCATATATGCACTGAAGTCACGCTAGTATACAAAACTCGGAAACCAAACTGGGAGTTTAATCAAAAACCATGCAGCTACAGCTAAAAAAAATCATCAGCAAAAAAATTAATATCGAGATTTTATAATTAGACTTACAACAAGATCTGTCGAAATGAATGAAGTTAAACTTAAAATAATAAAAATCTTTCGACATAAGCAAAAATATGGTCGAAAAAATCTGAACAAGCAGCAGGTAAGACAAAAAACTAGATCAGAATTTGTTAATTTTGAAAAAAAATTGAAACTAATAGAAAAAAAACATGTAAGTCCCCTTTGCTTTAAAATTACACACATACACAGCAAGACAAACAAAATGAACTTTAATAATTGTTTTGAGAATATAACTTAAAATTTATAAAGAATTGTTAACAAATTGAATTGGTAAAGATAAAACTAACAAAAATATCAAATTTTAAATAGGATGGATATTCAACAGAAGATGAATGCGTCCAGGAAAAGAGTCCTGTGAACATTGTTATATGCGGTAAAAAAAACGCTAGTACCCGATCAGTCTTGCTGAAATGTTTGGATGTACTTGAACTTTCGAGACTGCTATCTTTGTGTCGGATAAGCTTGGTAGAAAATATAAACAACCCAAAATCAGCTCAATTTGTAGCAGACCGCAAAAATCCATAATCAGTTTGTAACTATGTTTATTTATAAAAGTTCGTATTTGAGTTTAATTTGGTGCTTTTTGTATTAAAAAAGAAAATGGAATTATTTCTTTCTCAGCAATGAAGTTTTTTCTGAAGTGTTCACTTATATTGAGTTTTTTAGTGAGCTATAGAAAAAACATTTTCTTAATGAAGTGTTTACTGAAATTTGAAAACCTGAGCTGGTAAGTTAACAACACACAAAATTCGCATAAATAGGGACCTTAAATAGCTTCGGTGTGTAATGAATTACCAACAAATACCACTAAAAGTCGGCTTAGCTTTGGATGTCATGCTAATGAAAATTCCGTTAAATACCATTTTTATACGGAAACGCAGATTCAAATCTTCCAAGCGTTCACACATATAATTTATGGTAAACAATGATCTTTGTCGAAAACAAAGAACAAGCAACAGGAAAATTTAACAAGTTTCTCGTGGTTTATTTAGTATCATTTATGACAACTGAAATGTAGGGTTTGACCACTTAGCAATTTTCTTCGTCCAAATTGGTCATTTCTTTTCCCTTAGTTAACTGTTTTTGGATTAAACAATTTAACGCGAAATCAAATAAATGACTGAGCATATTGAAAGAACATGGTCAAGTTCAAATTTAGTATTGGCTGCGCTTGAGATATTGTAGCTTCCTTCCACCTTTGTAATTTTTTTGACTTAAATTGAACAAACTACTTAAGTACTTGTTGATCGAAACGATAAAAACTTGAAAAACATTGGCAAAAGGATAAAACTTAGCGACTCCCAAATTTTGTATTTTTTTATTGCAAGTAGTTTTTTTGCCTTTTTGAACATGTCTATGGTAATTAAAGCCCTGCCGGGGAGGGGGCGCGGAATTTAAAAATTTATTTTGACCTAAGTGGGGTAATTTTTCATAGGCAAGAAAACATAGCCAACAGACAGTTGAAAAAGAGCCAATAAACGCAAGTAAACAAAAAAATTCTGACTTGTTTTTTTAAAAAAATCTCAAATTTCCAATTTAAATGAAAAAAAAATTTGCTCTGAAAGCTTTTTGATTTTCTAAAATTTTTGTATTTTTTCACTAGATTATTTTTGGTTGTTCTTCTTTCTAATTTTTTGTTGGCTCTTTTTTGATAAAATTAACCCAATTCGAGAAAACTGTATCGATAAGTTGAAGTTTTATTTCGCTAGAACTGAAAATTGATCTCCTTTCCAAACCAGCGAAACCAGAAGTCGATCATGATTTTCGTGACCTTTGCACTTCCGGTGTTCGATAGCGGAGTTTGCCTTCCTTCCAACGAAGGAAATGAACTGAAATGGAAAAAAAATTAAGAATGAAACCGCGAAAAACCAAAATTAAGCCTGAACAACATTTAAGACATTACTGAAACAAAAAAGAAAATATCAACACGACCGGTAAGAGTATGAAATATTTTAAAATTATCTCACAAATTGCGATGAGATTAAAAAATTGCGATGAGATTAAAAATAGTCAAAAACTCTGAATAAAACACGATATTACAATTACAAAAACTTAGACTGAAAATGTTTAATTTGATATGCGCAGCTGAAGAAACAAGAATTTTTTTGCCTTTGACTGTAGTCAAGATTAATGTAACCAAGAATATTGTAGTTTACCATAACAAGTGTTTTTCCTTGCAAAGCTCGGAACCAATCTTGACCTTAATTCGTCGACTGCTTTCAAAAATATCCTTAAGTCATGAACCAAAAATTGGAGTTGTTTTGAATAGGGCCATGATTCTTAATTTTCATATTGGAAAAGTTGGCAGTTCTTGTTACTTGGTTCGGTATTCGTTTGCTCAGACACTCAAATAAAAATAGGGCAAGAATTAACTCTAAAAACGGCACGAAAATTCCGGAAAGCTGGAAATAATTTTTGAGTGCAAACTACTGCAAAAACCTACAAGCACCAAAAAAATTGAATTTGAAATTCAAAAAAAAATCGAGCATCAGAAATAAATGCATAATAGCGCCTAAATTCTAGCCGGTTAAATCAATTAACTTGTCAAATTTTAGACCCCAAAAATTGCATTATGATTGCAGGTTAAAACATTTTTTTAAATTTTTTTCCCAGGGCCTCAATATCTTCAAAACAGAATCAGCCAGCCAAGTTCAGAAACTATTTTTTCAATATTTTCAATAAAATTTGCACATTCTGTTGAAAGAAAACATCGAATGGCCTTATGTCCTTTTGCGCCTAAGTTGCATGTGTGAGCACTTGAAACCGCGACATGCAAATTAGATTATTGTTCACTTCTGTTATCGGGTGTCTTTTTTAAGTTTTTTTGCATACCACGCACAATCAGGCACCACAAATAATCAGCAGAATGGGTCCAGCGTTATATCATATTAAAGCCCTTCAGTCGTGATTCGAGCATTAGAAAATTTTTAAAAGCTTAGTTAATATTCGGCAAAATTGGTGTGAAATTTTTGATTTTAAGTCTAATTTCGAGCAAAACAGCTAGCAGCAAGCGAGAAGAATTTTATAGAAGGATAAGGCATGAAATTTATATTCAAGCCCTGAAAATTGAAGTTTACTCAAGTAAATAGGTTTTCGAAACTTTTCAGGCCTGATCTTGGGAATAAACAGTAAGTGCAAAAAAATTGAAACATAGCCAACAGACAGTTGAAGAGTCAATAAACGCACGAAATAGAAATCGGAAAAAAAACTTGCCTAAAAATATTAAGCTTTCGAGTTTTAAAGAAAAAAATTAGATGGCCTTTAATGTCTTTGAATTTCCAGACCAGTTCATTAGTGACCCTTTTGATAAAATTCACCCAATTTGGAACATAGGATCAATAAGAAAATTTTTTCAGTTCTCTGGAAAAACTGAAAATTAAATTCTAATTTTGATCACATTTGAAGTGCCCTTTACAAATGAACTAAAAATAATCAAAAGTCAAATCACAAAAAAAAAATTGAGCCTGAACATATGTTGTCTTTTCCTGAAAAATACATATTTTTTATTCTCGCCATTTAAAATATTCTTTGTCCAGTTCGTCTTTTAAAAAATTACTATCAATTTTGCCTAAGTTTAAGGCTTACGTACAGGTCCTTTCATCAAAACACGCACAAAAACCGATACTAATTTAAAAAAAAAAAACAATAATTTTTGTTGTTTTTTATGAATATGGTCGGAAAATTCTGTGCAACCGGCTATACTTGTTTCAACAATTTTGGTCAGCAATTTGGACATTTTCATCATAAATTGCATCGATTCACTCTTAAGTTCTTGTTGCATGTAATTTTTTTCACTCTATTAAATTGAATTTCACAACTTAAATTTGATTTTTATAAGCCAACTAGATGAAAAATCAAACCATGCTCTCAAAAAAACTAGACGCCCTTATTAAACAGATTTCCTTTCTATCGTATTCAACTTCAGTAAAAAAAAAGAAAGCGGTAAACTTTATTAAGTTTCAGTAAGAAGAAATACATTGTTGAAACCATTCATGAAAAATGCATCAATCGCTGCTCGCATCGAAGTGCTCGGAGCAATAAACCATGGGTGCATGTTTAGACTAATCCAACAATAAAATGATCAAAATAGGTCCCCTCACCAAAACTGAAATTTAGCTTCATTCTATTTTCAGGCTACTGCACATAGAAAACATTTACAGACAAAGTGAATAGTATAAAAAAACCACTGAACGAATCAGTTAAATCGCCAATGTTTGCAGTTAGCTTCAAGTTTTGGCAGTAAATGTACAAATGGAAATAGTGAAACATGTTTTAATTGTATGTTACAGAACAACAACGGAACAGGAATGAAATAATGGAATAAAATTTGTGATATAAACTTCAAAGAGACACATACGCTTCTAATGTCAACATATATGTCGATGATGCACAAAAACAACCCAACCTTTCTTACTTTTTCTGAGAAGAAACAGCTCTTTTGCAAATCAAAATATTGATAGAGAAACATCAGGTAACTCGGGTAGTTTTTGGCGCATCCATTTTTGTTATTATTTACAGTCTCGAGCTAGCTACAAATTCATTTGAGATTTCAATTCAAAAATTTGTAAAAAAAAAATTAATTGAAATTGCCGTATTCTATCTAAACTACTTAGCTTCAAAATTTTTATCAGTAAAACGCAGAGAAACGCATAATGACCAGGGAAAAACAGCTAATATAATTTCACGTGAATTAGTTGTCGGCTTGAAAATAATTTCTGGTACGGGGATATTTATTTTTGGGGAACAATAATTGCAACTCGCCATATTTGATTTGAGTGTTTTGCATATTGTCTCCATATTTACGAGACCGATATTTTAAGCGTATAAAAAAGCTTTTAAATCTGTATCCTAAAAAGAATATGAAGCTTTTTTTAACCCAATTTGTTTCCTGGTCGGTTAGCGTATAAACTCTAATTCGAACAACCACACGAACATGAGCTGTACGCTGACACTTCTGTAAAATCCTAATCAACCAAATCAATGCGCAAGTCAGTCCATTACGTGCACAGAAATCGAGCTCATGATCGGGCAGTTGAGAAATAGTTAGCACATGTATTTGTGTGGAGAACGTGTTTTAGAAACTGGTGACAGGACTTGCAAACTTGCGTCTTCGGTTTAGTAGATGCTTTTGATGCCGGAGTTGCATTGATGCCATAAGCGGCCAGTGTGTTGGTGCTGTTTTTATTCTGAGACCTGGTCTGTTCTAACATATTTCCGTGAAAAGAACTGTTCGGAACCGAGTCTGCCGCGCTCTGCTGCATTCGAGGATAAGCCGTGCTTGCTCTTCTAAACCCAGTGTCACTCTTTTGCCCTGTAGACTGACTATTATAATTTGTGGGCGTTGCATCCGAGGAAAACATCGGTGGCTTCCCGTTCGGAGCCGGGGTCTGTCCCTGGTTGTTTTTCTTAGACGACTGAGGCGACGATGATACAATTACATGTGCTTTGTTTGTAACTATTGGTTTGGCTGAAGAGGTTTGTTTCAAATTTGACTTCCCACTACCTTCTGAGATCTTAGAGAGATTGGAGGCTGGTGGGAGAGGTGATGTTGATCCAGGAGTGCCCCCACTATGGCGCACTCTGGCGTTGGCTGCAACTATGCTCTCCTCGGCGTCGCTTCCCGCAGAGCATGTCTCATCTCCACTGGAAGAGGGACTGCTCTCCGAACTGCTAAGGTACCTCAAGTGGTTTTCGTCTTCGTCTTCTGTACTGTCATTGCTAAACAAAACATCAAAGCATAACCAACAAATTTTTAAAAGCTACCGAAAATCACTTCAAAAATTAACCATAACTAACGTTTTGAATGACAGTAAGTTTGATAAAAATTCGACTCGCTTGTTGCTACGACCCACCATTAGAGGTGGGAAAGATCTTTGGTCTTAGGGTGTGTTAATTTCCACGCAAGCTCTGGTACCAACAACAAATATCAGATAGCGCCTTACGAACTAACGAACTTCATAAACCTGTCCGGGCGACTAGAAAAACAGGTCTGGTTTGTTCTGTTTTTCACGCATATTTTCAGCAGTGGAGAAGAAACGTATTGTTTTTAAAAATATTCACCCGACTCACTTCCAATTGTTTTTGGATCTTGTTAAATATTCCCCTTTTTTCGATTTTCAGAAACTTACCTTTAAATGCTGCATTTTGAATAGCTCAGACAATTATTTTTCAAAGAATAAATATAATTAAACTTTTTCATTTAAGTACCATTTAAATAGTCATACAAGCACGAACTCACGAAATTGAAAACCCAAAACCCATTTAATTGTTGACATTTTTGAAATGCATATTTTATTCAGATATGGTTGTCAAAAATAATACATGTATAGCGGGAAATAGTTAATAGGGCCAAATGTGAGTGAGTGTGTGTGGGGAAGATCTTTGTTTTAACAAGATTCTGAAATATAATTTCAGAATTACTAACCTAAAAATATGAAAAATATGTTTTAGAACAAATTTGTAATTTTACTTCAGTTAATTATGGCTATTCTTGCCGGCAGGCAACCTTTGTTTGTTTTTGAGGTTCAATATTAAACAAAACAAGAAAACGAAAACGTTTAGATGAACCTGAATTGGGACTTTAACAAATCGATATTTTAATCTGAAGAATGATTTATTCACTCACTCGACCAGTGGCAGATCCGAAGCACGTGACTTTTTCCTACTTTCGGCGCCATTAGTAGTACTAGCTGCAGTTCCCACCAGCGAAGACCTTCGCGCGGCCCATTTAGACGTTTCTCGCTGACTGTGTTTGCGATTGTTTGCATTCGTAAGGCACTTGTCGTTGTTTTCTTTTCTCTCCTTGTCGTCTCGGCTCTTATTCGTACTAGCACTACTACTAACTATAATCTTAGACGGAGTTGGACTGAGAATAGTAATGGGAACTTTGAGTAGACTTGTATTAGGCATCTGGATAGAACGACAACAAGATTTGCAGACAGACTTGTCGCAGAACTTACAGTTGAACTTTTTCTTGAACATATTAAAGCGAGTTGTTTTACAGAGGAAACACACACACTCTGACCGTACATCGGCTAACAGGTCTTTCGCTAGATTAAGGTTGTCTAGTTCAGCCTTTGTGAGCACCTGAAAATCAAGATCATAGCCAACAGATGGTAGAAAAACGTAAAAAGGATACCAAAAAAAGATGATTGATAATTTTGTAACGGGTTTCAATTTTCGAATAAAAAATACATAACGTAAAGATCTTTGAACTCAAGAATTTCTTATGATGAGCACTTTTTTCTTTAGAGATCTCAACCAGAAAAAAAACTGGATAAATTGGCAATTTTTCACGCTGGAAATTCAATAACTTAAAGTCCATCTTTCAAAATAGAATCACGTTTTTTGCACCATTTGCACTTTCGTAATTGGAGAGCTAAATTTCCCTTGCTTTTCGCAAATTAATTTCAATTGAACTTTAAATACAGAGGCGAAGCGGAGCAGAACTTTAAACACACTTGCGATTATTAAAACGTTGCATTACAGATATTGAAAAGAACAAGACTGCTCGAATATCAGGGCAAAGCCCTGAATGTTCGACTATGCCTCTTAATCTCTACCGAATAGTTTTTGAGAAAAAAATACTGAAAATCTATAAATTTTGGACAATATCAAAGATTAAGTGTGAAAAATTGAGTCGTACGAAATTAATCCGATCGATTAGCTATAGCCTCAATTCAATTTGGAACGATTTTGTTGTGCGGGAAAATTCGCCACGCATAAATAATTCGCGTTACGCTTTCAACATTATAAATAAAATGTTCCAATCGCACATAAATTAGTCCAGAGCATGGCCAAATGGGCAATTTTCAAACTCCCAGACCTTTGCAAAAACTGATCGGAGGTAAAATATCTTTTTACATTTGGTTTCAGGGAGTTGATATCCTCGATGGGATATAAAAAAATTTTTTGTTAAAAACTGTTATTTCGATTGCCGAAAATTGACTGAATGAAAAAAACACACATAGCATAAATATTCCGTTTTCTTCGAAAGTCGGAACATTAAAAGATTGAAGTCTTTTTTTTCAAAAAATTAAGCTGATAAAAACAACTTGAGAAATTTCCCAAAAAACCCTTTCTACAAAATTTCCATACCTTTGTCTCGGTCGATGCTCATTTACAGTCTCAATAAGCATCAAAAACGGCAAAGCGGCAACTAAGGCAAAGAAATTAAGGGTCGGCCCTCATTAAGGCGAAAACGAAAATGTAGACAAAAAATAATCTAGCTATGATTTTTTTAGTTTTACGAACCATCGCTTCTGAAACAAGCAAAAGCATTGAAAACAAGTCGTCCTTTAAATTGAAAACAAACCGTCCTCCGCAAGGTAAGTTGACTAACGATACAGTTTAATCAATGCATTACACGATACTGAGAAGAAAAAGGAAGTATTAGTATTTTTTATTAGGGTATGTCAATAAGCTGAAAAAATAGCTTGAAAGATACCTTGAAAAAGTTCGAAAAAAACAATTTTTGCAAATCTTTCGTACCTATGGGTCGACCCTCGTTATTTATTAGAATTTTTAGATTTATTTCATAGGCAAAGCGGAACTTCGCGTGAAAATTAATTTAAAAAATATACTCGTGTCAAGGCATAAAAAATTGACTGTAACAAACTGCGACATATTTCATATTTCGAAATGTTCAGTAATAAACATGATTCAGCCATTCTCAAACACACTTATTCTCATTTGATTCATAAAAAACTCATTTGACAAAATGAAACCAGGCGAGAAAACCATATGCGAACAACCGGAAAAATCGGTGATTTTTTTTTCAAAATTTAGCAAATAGATAAAACTAGTACGTCAAAAAAAGTTAATACGAGGCGCTTGTTTTTTTTCTGAATTAGATTAAAATGAAAACAAAAAATCGAAAACTTAGAACATCTATAAAAATATTGCTAACAAACAGTAGGAAGAGTCGACACAGAGGCGAAGTTGCACTTCGCATACACAATAAAAAACCGCTACTGGGGAAAAACTAAATGAGTAAAACTTTGAGTCTACAAAATTTCTTATGTGACCCACGCCAATTATGAGTCTCTATAATTGCTAGATGACGCATGCCTATTATGACGCATTAGCAATAACAGTCAATTTGAAAAAAAAAATTTACCAACAAACATGCCTCAATTTATAGAGCGGACGCATTTTAGCTAATATACGAAAAAGTTCATTAAAAACATCCGATACTGCCCAGGTTTGAGCCCTCTTATTTTGTTGCGGGTCTCCTTCACTACCTGTACGCTACAGATCCATGATTCCTTGAAGCTAAAGTGCTATTTGTAAAATAATAGTCTGTTAATATCCTTAGCATTGGCTGTACTTAATAGCTGGTTATTGATCAAAAGGAACACTTTCAAAATGAACACATTCTATCGCAACGAAATCTGCGCCGCAAAAATATTTGCTAATTAGGTTGGAAAAGGAGAGTTCATGCTATAACACAAGCTTTTCTTGTGTAATCAACGCAAGTAAACGGAAAAAACACTGGCTTGTTGAAAAAAAACTTTCGAATTTCGAAGGAACAAATAGATGGCATTAGAACTCTTTGAGCTTTTAAAACAATTTATGATTGACACTTTTTGCTAAAAAATTACTCAATTTGAGAAAACTGGAACAATGGATACATTTTTTATTTCGCTGGGAAATCTAAAAATTAAATTTAAGTTTCGAAACTAAAAGTCGATTAGGTTTTTCGTGACCTTTGAACTTTTGCTGTTCGATAGTTGAATATACGTTTCTTTTAATGAATTGAATTGATTTTCTGAGCTCTCTAAAACAGTTGAAAGACACTATTTTAGACACTATTGTCCAAATACCGTTATGAGCATTTTCAGACAGTTTGACCTTTCAGCGCGCGCTCGCTTAACTTAAAATTAGTAACCATTCTTAGCGGATTCTTTCTTATTCATGAAACTTTTAGGAGTTTAGTTGCGCTCACATGAGAAATTATGTTTGAAAGTCACGTGAACGCGTGTAAAAAAGTAAAAAAAAATCGCGAAAGTTGAAAACCACCAAAAAACTTTTGAAAAAAAAAGAAAAAACCTGAGAAACTTCAAAATTTCATTCAAAACTCACATTTTTGTGAACACTCGGAAATAAAAAAAAAATTAAGGTATTAAAAACATTAAAACAAGATACCTGTCTGATGTGCATCATTTCGTCTACAGTGAGGTTGAGGAAATCTCTTCCGTCCACGCCCTCATTGCACATCTTACACTCCACAACAGAGTTCTCGCTCCCACGTCCACCCCCTTTGAACCTGCCACTGCCCCCATACGCCCCCCATCCCATACGTGACACCCCACTCCCCCCTCCTCCTCCACCCTGCAGACCCCTGGGCACTCCGACACTTCTGTCTCTGCGATGGCCTCCGTGACAGTCGGTGGCGCCGGCGGTTGACAGTTGGTTACGCTTGAATCCCATCGAGGCTGACAATTGGGACTGCAACGCACAAAAATATCTCCATTCATACATATAACGAGTGGATACACAAACTTTAAGGGAAAACTGTAAAAAGCTTATTTACGTCACAAAAACAATGAACCCCGAACCAATCAAAGGGGGAAAAGCCACCAACAATCAGAAACCAAATTCACGGGTCAGAAGTTCAATTCTTAGTCAGCCAAAAAAGCTTTGCTACTTTTTCATCACATAAATTATTGCTCTTCACAAATGAACATTTTTTAAGGTATGGAAGGCATGGTACGAGTCCATAATTTAAACAATTGTATACAACATGGCCATATTTACGTGTTGTTTAAATTACAGAAGAACAGTACAACATCACAAGGTTAACCGAAAATAAACTTTCAGTGGAGAAAAACAGCAGATAAGAATAGCGATATTGAAATTAAAGAGCAAGAAACCCACACTAGTGAAGAAAAAAGACCATTCATCCTAAGGGAAATTAATGGCTCTTTTCCACTTCCCCCAAATTTGATTTTAAGCTTTTGAAAACTATTTTAACATTGTCTTAACGTAATAAAAATTTGCATGGTGAACAAATTCATTATTGTGAACAAATTTGTTCTTCATACTTTATATCGTAACATCGCGCATTTAACCATAATGACACTTAAAACAACTATGGGGGTGGAAAAGAGTCAACATAAGACGCAAGTACAGAACCCGTAGATCCCAAAATTTATTTTACCTAGGCACGACATTTAACTTTGGGCTCACGAGTAAGCGCCATAATAAACTGCTTCGTGGAGTGCTTCTTCGGTTCACAAACCCAAACCGCTACAGAAACATGACAAAAAATTACAATTCGTTTTTCGTCATTTTTACAATCACTTCTGCATGAATATCTGAACTTTAAACTCTACTAGACTTAATTTGGTCATTATTTTCAAACAAGAGAAGGCCAAATTTACAGCTCAAAAGAATTCAAAGAGCTCATGCGTCACCGAATCTCTTTCATGTATATACCATGACGCTCTTTTGATGATTAATCGCTCTTCGCCAGTAATGCTTTGATTATTCGAGGCGGAAGGAAACCAGAGCAAAAAGAAGCTTTTCGCGTTTCGTACATAATCTTCAGTTTTTAACAAATTCATTGCACAATAATTCAAATTTTTGATCCTATCTGACCTTCAATCTAAATCTAATTCGAAATACAAAGCTGCTTTAAATTATACGGACAAAACTAACAAAACTTGAAACTTTAAATGCGTTTTTCGCAAATTGGGTTGAGATACAAAAAATGAAGAGAACAAAATTTGCTGAGAATTTCACCAAAATTTTCATGGTGCAACCAAAATTTACTCCAAAAATGGGTCATTTCGCCTAAAACTACTAAGTTAATTTTTAAAAAATGATATCAAAAAAGCCTCTCACACAGCGCAACACAGTTCCAGAAATGTAAAATCTCCTAAAAACTACACAAGAGAAAATATTTTCGCTTGATATTTAAAAAGGTCAGTACCAAAAATCTAAGTCTAGCTCGGGTAGAATGACTAAAGGTACAATGGCCTGGGTACAACTGGAACATAGGTTAGAATAGTAATGGATATCATTAACCTTTAAGTGACCATTGTAAAATAGTTCTATGTCAGTTTCTTATCAAAACAAAAACATAGCCAATCGACAGATGGAACGAGTTAATGAAAGTAAGTAAACAGAAAAAATATACTGACTTAAAAATTTATTATTTTCAAGAAAAACATTTATTCCCTTAAAGCTTTTTGAAACTCTAGAACAATTTGCGACTGGAACTTGCTACAATTTATCATATTTTGAGACTGAATCAATAGGTAAGCTTTTTATTCCGCTGGGAAATCTGCAAATGAAAATCCACTTTCGAAACTAAAAAGTTGATCACGTTTTTCGTGACCTCTACACTTCTGAACAAATTTCACACAGAGCCGAAGCTTCGCTTAGCAAACAAGCGAGAACACGACAAAAAGCAGCTCTAGAAAGTGCAATAAGAAAAAATAGAAATAAGCATCGAATTAGCAAAAATTCGGCTAGGTTCAGGATTCGATCTGTGACCTACTGCAATCACGAGATTTTGAATCTCACTCTCTAACCACTCAGCCACGCACGCTTAACCACCTTCAAACACTAGTCAGGAATAAAGCAGCTACATATGCAAATAAATTGCCTATGTAATTCAGCAAAAGTGTCACCAAATACAAATAGACACAATTTTGCAAGTAATATTTTGCAATATAACAGACGGAAAGCATCCACACCAATTTTACATGTAACAAATCGCAAAGCATAAAACCACATTATGTATAAATTGTGCATTTCAAAAAATTGCGAGTATCGGTTCATTAGATGAACTAAAAATGTATCAACTATGTAACCTTAATACTATTCGAATGTCAAAGCACATGCTATCAAAAAGCTGTAAAAGTACCCCAAAAGTGGCACCAATATTTGCGACTTGGGTTAGAAAAAAAGAAGGTTCTTAATAATACACTAAGCTGACGCTGTAAGGACTTTTCCTGAAAAACAAAACGTAAAAAAATATCATCACGGCCTATATAAGAATCTGAACTACGTTCATCGACTCTTTACCAGCATTAGAAGAACTTACTTCAAATTTTCCAACATTGAAAATCAATGAAGAGTATTTTCCTTCACCTGTAAACTTTTAAAAGTCAAATATTGCTCAGATTGCTCAACTTTTATGGAAAATATCAAGCAGACTAATTCGGCTATGACAAACATATTTAGTCTGCATTTTTAGGGCCGTAAAACCCATCGTTAGCCCACAAAACTGTTGTTTAGGTAAGGTGGGGTGGAAAGGGAAAAAGAGCCACATACAGATGCTGCTCTATTTTAGGATAAAACAAATAGTACCGGGAAGGGACTCTCTTATTTGAATGCGTCGAGCATAGTCTTAAAAAAAGTTTAAGCCTTAGCTTTTGAGCATGGTCTTAACCTTTTACTATGACCACAATGTAATTATCTAAAATATTTGTTCTAAATCGGATAAACTTGACTACTCCACATTTAAATAACATAGGGGGACATTGTTTTTCATTCACTTGGCCCAGAAGTGGCTCAGAGAAACATTTTAGGCTACTCCAAAAAAAATAACATTTAGTGCAAATTCACTAAAAAAAACTGAACAAAAAATTAAATAGATCAATCATAATGAAGACTATTATAGCAATAACGACTATATCTTTGGAAAATAATGACAACAATTTGCTTTATCTATTTAATGGTATATAAACTAGCCGAAGTATACACCAGCTACCACATGAACCGTGATGTAACAATTATGCAACAGTAAAGAAAACCATGCAAATTTAATTGATATGACTTAACTTTCGGCTGGGTGTTTATACTCTGCTCATTTTCGGTTAGTTATTACTTCATCTATTTGTGTAAAGCTACTGCTATTATTTTTATAAAAGGCCGTCTTTTTCAGCCAAAGAATGAATGAAGACGTACCTTAGTTTTGAGTTGGAACTGCTCAGGGAAGCTTCCGACACTCAGCCGACTGTTTCTCTTTTTCTCCACATTTCCATTTCCATTTCTACTGCTATTGCACATATCGTTAGCTATTGAAGTACTAAAGAAAACAGAACTGTTAATAACAGGGTTACCACATTATAATACTGATTCCGATTCGAAACATTCTTTGCAGCCAAAACAATAGATAAGACACCCAATACTAAAAAAACTGCCGCAGCACGCGTTTAAAATAAAGACGAGCAAAACTGAAAGGTTGAGTTTGTTGGAAAATGATTAAACGCATTGATTGATGGTTCGAATGAATTATGCTGGTAGTTACCCGAAAATAAGATCATCACAGCTGAAAGAATGAAGCGTTTGCTTATTAATAGAATTGAGAAAACAACTATAGCAATTTTCTTAACCATACACGATGCAAATAATCGAGCAAAGTTTTGAAGCTACCAATACAGGTAAGGTAACAATTTTCCATTCGCTTAGTATTTTTCAATAAACCGCAATCTCATCTTTGAGATTGGACCAACTGTACCTTCTGTCCATATTCGACTTGAAGCTGTTAAGGTTTTGGAGTCCGGTCTGGGACGAGAACTCTTTCACAATATCTTCCAGGGAACTCGCTTGGGGAGTCGGAGTCTCATCTCGTTCGTCATCTCCCGAATCAGTCGAAGCGTACATTTCGGCGTCTATAGTACAGAAACTGTCCATGCCTTCGTTTGAATCCGGAATCAAAGAGGGATCTTTGAAGTACTCCGCCATGTAGTCTTCTTCTTTAGACTTTGTCATGGTCAGTGTTGCCGATTTCTTGCTATTTCTCTCCAGTGGTGGTTTGGCATCTGAGAATTGGTGTTTGCCGACAGGCGATAAATTTTTGTCTGAAAAGACTGCATCTTCTTGGTCGGCACCTTCGTCTTCAGTGCACGAGACATCTTCAATGTCCAGATTCATAATAGACGACGGTCGGATTAACAGTCGGGGTCCTTCGTACCTTTTCACTCCATCCTTCATTATATCCACTAAAAGCAATTCAACTGATTCCACCAAAAGTTACACAGGCGAAGAGAGAGTAAAATTACACGCGCAAATAAAACTATAAACCAATCGACGAGCTAGCTTATAAAGATAAAAACAGGCGAAGATGGATTTAGTATATACAAGCGAAAAAAATATATACGCTATTACATTAGATACTCCACATTAATTGCCTCGACTTAATTGCTTATGATAATTAATGAAAAACGGTACTATAGTATTTCATATAACACAGTCTGACGCATTTTTGTCCAAAACAGTATCTTTAGGTAAATCGATTGTGCAGATACGGAAACGCGTAATTTCCAAAATTTCAAACTATTGGTCTTCACGCTGAACCAGTCAATTTGAAAAAAAAAGAAATTTAACAACTAACATGCCTCCATTTATAGAGCGGACGCATTTTAACTACTATATGAAAAAGTTCATTAAAAACGTCCGACCCTGCCAAGGTTTGAACCCTTTTATTTTGTTGAGGGTCACCTTCCCTACCTCTACGCTACAGGTCCATGATAGCTTGAACTAAAATGCTATTTGTAATATAATAGTCTGTGTTAATATCCTTAGCATTGACTGTAATTAATAGCTGGTTATTGATCAAAATGAACCCTTTCAAAATGAACACATTCTATCGCATCGATCTTTGCGTCGCGACAATATTTGCGACTTTGGTTAGAAAAAAGAGAGTTCACACTATCACACAAGCTTTGCTTGTGTAAAAAAATTCAATGAAAACCATATCAGCTTTTCTACAAAAAAAAAAACAGCGAAAGCCGCTTGCGCAGTTAAAATTCGCATAACTGATTTTTTCTTCTACCGAAGTAAGGGAAAAGCCGCTTGAGGAGGGGAGATACCAAAAAATTAATCTTTTGATTGAAACCTTCATCTCAAATTTGTGCATTTAATATTTGAGAAAATGAAAACATTCAAAACAAATAGACCAAAAATCCCCCTACTGAAGCTTTCGAAGGCCCTAGAACAGGAGTTAAAAGTAAAAAAAAAGACTAGCAAAGCATGCAGGCACATAGAGAAACAGCAAACTTTTCCATTGGTACCAAGTTTTTGAAAATCGGTACAGTAGTTGATGAGAAAAACTGAAACTTCTGCGAAAAATGCTAACAATTTCCAAGGCGTAGCAAAAATACGAAAATAACAAATCGCGTACATTTTTATCAGAAATTCTTTTTCAAACATGACTTAACAATAGCCAAAAACAAAGCAGCAGCACATGCCATCAAATTGTTTAGGCCTAAATAAGCCTAAACATGATTAGCGTGTAGCGCACCTCCGGTGCTTCGAATTTTTGAGAACAGCAAATATTGAAAAAAATCTAATGCAACCTTTGAGTGCACTTTGACAGCACCCAATAATAAAGTCCGTAATTTCAAATTTTGCTAAGAAGTTTTCTGCAAGTTGTTTCAAACAAATTTTGAAAGCCATTAATTTTTGAAGTTCTTTTTTATCTAAGTTCTTTGAAAAATTTTAAAATGACATAGATACCGTCCCAACATCGAAACTAAAAGCATTTGAGCAGTCGCATTTAGACACAAAAATTGCAACTCCTGAGAGTACTCTCACAGTACCCAACTACAGGGTTAGTAATTTCAAATTTCGAAAAAAATTAATCATAAAAACGTCACATCTCAAAAATTACAAAAACTTAAGAAATCATGTGGAAGCGAGATTCGCAACCCCGTCGAGTGATCTGACAGTCCCTAAATTTTTAAAAGAATCGAAAAAAATGTCTTATCTCGAAAACTGCGAAGAATTGAGCAGTCATAGTTGGAGGCGAGATTCGCAACTACTGAAAAAACTCGGACAGCCCCCATTCCAAGGAAGGCGGCTTCAAATTTTAAGTAAAATTTGAAAAAAAAATTAACTTTGCTGAAAATTTGAGCAATCATATTTGTATGCAAGATTCGCAACCCCTGAGAATATTCTGGGAGCCCCCATTATAAGGAAGGGAATTTCAAAATTTTAAACACAAAATTTAAATTTTCTGAAATTTTTTTGAGAAAAAAATCACAAAAAACGTCACATCTCGAAAACTAAAAAGATTTCAGTAGTCATATTTGGATGCAAGATTCACAACCACAGAGAATATTCAGAGAGCCCCCATAACAAGGAAAGGAATTTCAAAAATTTAAACAAAATTTTGAATACAAGTTTTCTGAAAATTTTTTGAAATAAATAAAAACGTCATATCTCTGGGAAACTATGGCAGCATCCCACTATTGTGTTGCTAACTTTCAACTCTGTGAACAAACACTAGATTCAAACTGAGACTAGAAAATTGTTTTCGGTATTATTACACTACGCCTGGCTTGTGTAAAACATGTACGCTTCTTACAAATTAACAGATTCTGGGTATATGCTGAACAAATCGCAAATAGTGCAATTCATGATTAAATTTTGTTTTTCTTAATGAAAGATTGTCAGTTAAGGTTTCAATTTTTTTCTAATTTTTCAAGAGTTCAACTGACCAACTCGTCCTAGCTGTAGTCCTCTGTTGTAGTTTGGGGTCTGGATGTGTCTCAGGTTCGGTCTGTTCCTGATCATATTCAACATCGTGTCACGTGCCGTCAGAATCTCAGTGGCGTTGGCGTTATACCACTTCATACTACTGTCTGAAGTCCAACTGCCGGAACTTGTGATGCGATTTCGAACCTGAATTCCAGACCAATAATGTAATATCGGCTCATAGTGTTTATCATTTACTATCGGTTTCTTGAGACTGTGAAACTAAGCTAACCGGTTTAAGAATTGGACGGCTTCGTATGAAATCCAGAATGATCTCGTGAGCATCTTTCCTCAACTTGGGAGAAATATTGTTTTGAGTCTGAAAAAAACAACTTCGTTACTTTTTTATTAAAAAAAGATAAGCCAACTGCAGTGCAATTAGCACAGAATATTCCGATCATCATTCATAAATTAAGACTGAGGAAAAACTTTTTCCAGTTTTTAGTTAATGGGTATTGAATTACGTCAAAAAGCTACAAGAACAAGATTTATCAAAGAGGAGAAATTAGCTTAGCAAAACTTCGCAAAATGTAGCGATACAACAAAAAACAAAGCCTTACAAGCTACCGGATGATAAATAAGACAACTGCCATTCGGTCGAATAACTATTTATCAAAAAGTCCAAAAAATACGTCTACAAAAATTTCATACGTTTGTCTCGAATGATGTTCAATTTCAGGAAAAAAAGCATCAAATAAGCACTCAGAGCAAAAACACAAATAACATATCTCTCCTCAAAAACACAAATAACATATGAGTCTAGTTAAACCCTTTGAGCGACGCAATATCAGCAATATCAGGGGGCAGAGCCGATACACACCAAGCAAAAAAGCTAGAAAGAAAATTATACAAAATCAAATTACAGGGCCACTTTCAATTGCAGAAAAATTGCTTAAATCAGAGAAAAGTACGCTCATTGAGAAATAAGCCGACAAAAAAGATAGCCAACAGACAGTTTGAAGAGTCAATGAACGCAAAAAAATGACTTAATTTATGAATAAAAAATCATTTTTCGAAGTTCCAAGTAAAAAAATACATGGCCTTAAAATTCTTTGAGTTTCTAAAACGATTTATGATCGACACTTTTTTGATCGTGAGCCGACAATTCGTAACAGGCAACAATTCGTAACCTTTAAATAATGAAAAACTTCAAAAAGAAATCATAAGTCAAATCTCGAAAACCAAATTTTAGCGTTAAGAAATTTTAAAACTTTTCTTGAAAAAAAAATCATCACCACCTATATAATTGACAGTCGATCCGTTTCTTTTACACTTAATAACGATAGCTTTGCACCAGAACTGAATTGGATGTCATCAAATTTACTTTCAGTGTCACAAGTTCCTTAGATTCGGCCTGAAAATCGAAATTAATTCAAATCACGACCAATATGCCTTAAATGTAACCCCTTCAATATGACAATAATTGACCCCTACAAGCTTTTTATGAGGTAGTCAAAACGTATTTAAAAAAATAGGACCATGGCATAATAGTTTCCCACTTCGTGAAGCAGTCGGAACAACAAATCGGTTATTTGACGTAGAAAAAACAGAACTTAACACTTGTTTAGCAGATGGCGCCTACCGTTTTCTTGAGGTTATATCGCTTGCATCTGATATCTTCCATCAACACCTCGTAGGGAGTCATCTCGTAGACTATCTCGTGTGGCGTGTAATTCCTCTCTTCTGACTTCTTCAGGGTCACACCTGTTCTCAATTGTCTCATCACTTGCATCCAAAGACGCGCCTAAAATCATAAAACACATACACAAATTAGAAGAACTAAAAGACAAATTGGAACAATCCAAATTCAGAGTGAAATGGAACCTAAAATGATGAAGAAAAATTAATAAACAAATAGAGAAATATAGAGAAAAAGTTAAAAGGATTCAGTGAACTTAACAAAACGAAAAAAAGACTGATTTTTTTTCAAGCATTTCCAAAGAAAAAATATATTACAGTAAAGTTTTATGAATGCTTGAGTCAAAAATTTTTTCTGACTGAAAATTTTTCAAGAAACAAAACAAAGCCGCTTGAGAAGACTCGACCAACATGTAAAAGGAAGATTTCAAAAAACCGAGGATTTCAAAAAACGTAGTCATTCCCATTTTTTTTCACGGCAATTGCTCTTTCGTTATCAGCGAGCAAAAATGGCCTCCCTTTCAGCAAAAAAAAATTGATTTTAACTTTAAAAAACTGGAAGTCAAACAGCAAAAAAAACACACTTCCTGAAAAAAAAGCACCAAGCGACATAAACTCCTTCATTGACACCGAATGACAGTACACACCCATTCTGTTGATCTTAGATCTTCCAAATCTCGCTCTTTGAACTCGCTACTGTTTCTGCACCTGTCATCTCCTGATTGCAACCCCTTCAAGGATTGCAAAGCCTTCAAAAACACAAAACGTAGTAAATTCGTCAAATTGGTTAATATTGGCAAATTTAAAGTGTTGATTTAACCTGCTGTGCAGCTTCAACTTTGTCTAAAAAGACACACAAATCCGATGCTTCTTGGTATATTGCTTGGCACACTTTGATGTAGTGGTTGTGAGCACTTTCGAATGAGACACTCTTTCTACATTTAGAAGTCACGGCAGCCGCGTAACAGACCTGTTAACATTGATAATGCCATGTATCTACGAAGCAGAGCCGGAGCAATAAGCAGAATGGTCTAAGAGCAGAAAAACAGAAAAAATAATAATTTTTATTGTTTTATACAGGCTAATTAATAAAAACAATTATTAGAAGAACGTCAAAAATAATAATTTCATCAAGTTTTTTTTTAATAAATTACTAAAATATGCATAAAATATTCATTTTTAAAGTAAAATTGACAAATCTTACGCTTAGTTTACCCATTAGCTTACAAAAATTAACATTTTCCTGCTCTTAGGCCATTCTGCTCTGGACTGGCCATCCTACGAAACATATACCAGTTATAAATGACTGAGCCGTATCAACAAAACTCCTCACCCGAATGACTTGTGAAAATGACCTAATCGGTCCCTGATCATCACCAGGGCGCAAAATATCTTCTGGTCCGGCGGAAAAACCTGGAAAGCACTCAAGTCACAGCAAACACAAACTCAATCAAATTATTATCAAATGTGAGTAACTACCTTCGTCTGGTGCCAAATCTTCGTCGTCGCTTACTGCGACGTTATAGTCCCCAGCTTCGGGGTTTATATCCTCATTCTCCAGCAATCGATCGAGGAAGTCTTCTAGTAACTCTGGTAGATCTCCTCTCTCTTCGTCAACCGGTAGATTGTAATCCAACGCGTGGAATAGAAGTTTACCCAGGCCGTGTAGAAGCTGCAAACAAATTGACCTTAGAAAGCTATGCAGCGGCAGACCACAAACAAGGCATGTGATCTGATCTATTGATAGGATTGTTTTATTAGTCAGATAACTGCCAACAACTACACTTTCAAGCTAAATGATCGGTAAATTTAAGCTCTCCCAATTTTTAAAAAAGAGGTGTAAGATTATTGGCCAAGATGTAAGTTTCGTCATTTATACTTTTGGATAACTCAACAGCGCTCGTGAAAACAAAGATTATTTATTTTATAAACCCGGATGTATACAAAATGATAAGTGAAGGTAGGCGTAAAAGAACATACTTTCACAATGGAATCCAAAATTTGGAGACATAATTATAATATCTTAGGAAGTGATTGACACACCAAAAAGCTTCCAAAAACACGCATTAACCAACCCCCTACCTAGTAGCACAAAAATCATAACCCAACGAAAATAGGATTTACGTCATTATGGGCGAGGGGGGCTATGATTATGATTGGCTAGGGAGGCATAACAGTTAGAAGTCGTAATAGGACCTACTTACCTCATTTATATTAGTTTCTTTGTCAGTTTTTTTGAATGAAATCGATCCACAAGGTTCAAAATATACATAATCTGGCTCAATTGTTATATTCTGTGTTCCCTGGGACTTGATAGCCAGGCCAACGCTGTATGCAATCGACCATGTCTGTTCGGCACTTAACGGACAATTGAACAATCGTAACGCCTCCGAGAAGAGCATAGGATTCAACTGGACTGATAGACGACTGTCTCGTGGCATTGTTCTTTGGTAGTTTTAAGGCATTCATTACATTTTATTACTGAAAATTTGTTGCAAAAAAATATGAAAGACAATTGTAAAAAAAAACAAGGACAGCCGGTTACTGTGCAAGTAGCACAGAACGTTGTTCCGACCATAGTCTTTAAAAACTCTTGATAAATGAACAAAATCAAATTATTTGCCACACACATCTTCAAGCCGAAAGGAACATGGGTGACATATAACATCACATTTGCCAGGATGAAAAATGAACAATTATACAGGGTACAGGTATACAAGGCATCGCTGTCCCTCTGAATTTCTTCAGAACCTGGTCACTGAGCTTCATTTCTATTATGAAAAATTACTAAACCGAATACACAACAAACACCGAATACAAAACAAAACAAACAACAAATGTGGGATGAACCATTGAGGATTGAAAAGAGAGGGGGAATGCACTAACAGCAAAGGAACAAAGGAGCACCAGAATTGGGAAGGCAAAAACGTAATAAACTGCACAAGACTAGATGGCCCGACTGACAATCATAGTGGCGTTTCCTCTCATGAGGCACACTGAGAGGCTCTGGAGAAGGCGAACTGGGGCAACACGAGCGTCACGTGAACCAGAACGTCTGGCATCAGCGAGGATAGCAACTGACTTGAGGGTTTTGATAGCTAAAGCGGACCAACCCCCGAGCGTTTCGACTGCAAACGGGAAAAACTGATTCCTTGTTCCTCACAGTTTTTCTCGTGTTTCGAAAATTTGCGGTCCTCAGCAACTTCCAGGGACGCCCCGGGGGTCTCCGCCGCACGAGAGAGAAGAGATACTGCAGCGGGGATGTCACGGTGACGTCGAAAGCAGCTGGGCGACCAGCGCTCCAAGTAGGGACAAAAATATCGCCGGGTTTGGACCGTTCTCCAGGGATGAGGTTCCGTTGCTCCTTGATGGGGGCTAAAGAGGCAGCCGTGGTAGCATTGAAAAGAATGTCCCGTAGTCTGTCGTGACGGGAGATCCGGCCACCACTCCCCCCACAAGCGACAGCGTGGTCCCCGAGGACGTCCAGAATGCCAGACGGACACGCGCGGCACCTACGAGCAGACGCGACCACAGGAAGACCAAGGCGGTATGTGCCAGTCAGTCATATTTGGAAGTTTGACCTTGAGAAAAACAAGAGCGCTTAATTTTGGAGTGAAATTTGATTTTTCAAAAATTCGAATGGAGCCTGTCATGCACGATTTTCTCGCGATAACTGAAAACCGAAAAAGAGAAATCAGAACGATCGAGTAACAATCGCGGGAAAGTTGCCAGACAAAGCAGTAGGAAATTGCCATTCGCAATTTCCGTCACAATAAAACTAGAGTAGAGCTGTCCTATCTGAAACAGAAGGAAGCGTATTCCCGAGAATTGGGCTATTATTACTAGACTGGATTATCATTCAAACTGGACTAGAGTGAACCTTCGATGGAAAAGTGGACAGCTTGAGTGTCCCAATGGTTCACGAGAAACCATACTCTAGAGTTCAAATTTGGTCCTGTTATTGAAACTGATAAACATTAAACTCATTTAGTTACATTATTTAATTCTCGAGTTGAATACCGACTTAATTACTCCCAGTTCATGAGCGTGCTACGATGTGAGTACTCAATTTAAATTTCTAGAGTGTGTTTTATGATTGTTATGTTGAGGTAAGGCGAGTTTTAGGTTGATCCATCTGAAATGGATCAAAGTTCCACCGTCTAATAAAAAGTATCTTAACGGATTGTTCTGACCCGGTTTTTAACGGCGTTCATGTATTTTGGGTATCTAGAGACCTAAGTATGGGGACATTCTTATTTCTAGAGTGGGGGATATTTTGGTAGTAGCCTTTAAGCTGTAACGGGTCGTAGTCTCATGTCACAAGCGAACCGAATTGGCTCCGACTGATTTGAGGTAGAAAAACACAAGAGATAGTGTCCCTGACTCTTGAGCCAATGGTTATAGGGCCTATTTTTCTTAAGCCTGATGTGTGACTACAGTAGACGAATGTTACATAGTGATTTTATGGCGCTCCTGGGTGTTTACGAGATCAAGACTACGGAGTCGAACCCATTTGAGACAGCTTCGGGCTGCATGCCCATTCTAGAGTACCGGTGGTACGGTTCGGCAGGAACGTGCGAACCTTCCGGTTGTACCGTGATAGCTTTTTAAGAAAACTCGAGAAAACTTCCTGGCACGCTCTCCGAACGAGGCTTAGCTAACCGAGTAAAGGGGGGCAACTAGGGGGACAAAAACACGAGCAAAAAGACAAAAAGCGAAACAAAAACCAAAAAAGAATAGAAAAAGGAACAAAAACCATAAAACGAAAAAAGACAATGACTTTGACACCAGATTAGTTGGATCAAACCTTTATATTAATTAAATCGTATACCCATACTGTTTTACAAGTTCGATCGTTTCGATCAACCTAGCAATTTAACCCAGTAACCTCAATAAAGTGCCCGAGTGTGGGGCGTTGTCAAGGGTTTTCAGATAGCTTGGAACTTAGCTGGACAACAAGGAGATTTGACTGGAAGAGGTGACCAGCCGAGTGGGAAAGTGGTTCAGGAGCACTTGAGCTGAACCAATAGGAGACTGGACTGGAAGAGGTGACCAGTCGAGTGGGAAAGTAGCCAAGAAGGATTTGGCAGTTCTCGAGTTCTCAAGTTAGGCAGAACGGGTATCGTTAAAATCCACATTACATTATAGGAGATAAGTGTAAAATTGGATAAGCGAAATCCCCCGGTTTTGAGGAACGTTTTTACTTAAGCAGGCCTGGAGACAGGTCTACGGTTTTCTCTTGAGAGGTTTAGCACCCGGCGCTTAAGGTAATTTTAGGCTTAAGAAGGGGGGCTAAAAAGGGGGGAAGTTAGAAGGGGGGCTGGTTAGGTTAGAGGTTGGCGGTTGCAAATTGTAAAAAGGGGGGAAACTAGAGTAACTAATTAATCGACATCGTTGATTTAGTTACATTAGTCATTAACACGCGTTGGTAATAATAGGTGGATATTGAAATTTAAACTCGAGTTAAGGCAGGTATACTGGTCGGATTGGTAGGGGGGAACGGACATAGACAATTCTGGTGATACCCAATAAGATTATTAGTTGGGGGGAGGAAAACGCGTGGCAATTAGGTACCAGACAATTTTTTTTTCGACAAAAGGTAGACATTTGTCACCTTTGAATTTTAGGTGGGTTCATCTATCTGTTTTTATTACTTTTTCTGGCTTAGAATTTTTGTTGCATTTTGGTGAGGATTTGTGTTTAGTTTTTACACGAACAGGTGATCACAAGATACCTGCGCACAGATTTTGGTTTCAAGTTGCTTGGAACATTGAAAAAGAGGTAACTAAAAAAAAAAGGGGGGGTCAGCATTTGGCCTTTAAGAGAGGGTTTTTGGGAAAATTTTACTAGAGCTTGAATAGTGGTACAAGGTACAGTGAATCATGAAGTCCCCATAACGAAGAAGAAAGAGGTCCCACTGCTCAGACACTTGTCAACAGTCTTGGGACAGTACCAGAGAAGTCTTGGGACAGTGCCAAGGAAGTCTTGGGACAGTGCCAAAGAAGTCTTGGGACAGCGCCAAAGAAGTCTTGGGACAGAGCAGTCTTGGTACAGTCTTGGGACAGTACAGCCTTGAACACTACAGTCTTGGGACGGTACGGTCTTGGGACAGTGGTCTAGGGACAGTGGTCTTGGGACAGTGGTCTTGGGACAGTGGTCTTGGGACACTAGCCTTGGGACAGTGGTCTTGGGACAGTGGTCTTGGGACAGTGGTCTTGGGACAGTGGTCTTGGGACAGGGGTCTTGGGACAGTGGTCTTGGGACAGTGGTCTTGGGACACTAGCCTTGGGACAGTGGTCTTGGGATAGTGGTCTTGGGACAGTGGTCTTGGGACACTAGCCTTGGGACACTAGCCTTGGGACAGTAGTCTTGGGACAGTAGCCTTGGGACAGTAGTCTTGGGACAGTGGTCTTGGGACACTAGCCTTGGGACACTAGTCTTTGGACAGTAGTCTTGGTACACTAGCCTTGGGACACTAGTCTTGGGACAGTAACCTTGGGACACTAGCCTTGGGACAGTAGTCTTGGGACACTAGCCTTGGGACAGTAGTCTTGGGACAGTGGTCTTGGGACACTAGCCTTGGGACACTAGTCTTGGGACAGTAGTCTTGGTACACTACCCTTGGGACACTAGTCTTGGGACAGTAATCTTGGGACACTAACCTTGGGGCAGTACTCTTGGGACAGTCCTGGGACAGTGGTCCTGGGATAGTACTCGCAGGACAGGGGTCTTGGGACACTGACGGAAAGTACTGGGACAGTACCGAACAGTCTTGGGACAGTAGAAAGAAGCCTGGGACGGTACAAAGAAGAGTAGGGACGGTAACTGGAAGTCTTGGGACGGTATAAAAATTGAAGTAAAATTACAATAAGTGTTTTAAGACAGAATTAGAACAGAACAATACTAGTCGGAACCCGGTACGGTTGAAACCACAAATAAAGAAAGTTTCTCGGAAGGTTTTGAAAGAGAACTGGGAACAAGGTTTTTATCACGTTGTATATTTCTTTTATAAAAAAAAAGTTTTTTTTTCATTATAGATTTTTTTCTTAGAATAGAATTGTGTATATAATAAAATTGTAAATAAGAGCAATTGTAAATAGAAATAATGAGACGGAGTAGGGTACCGGTGCTCGAAAAAAGGTCAAGTGGATCAAACACGAAATATAACTCGTCGCTGCGCGGAACGACATCAATGGGCCCAAGGAAAACAAAAGATAACTTTTCAGTTAGCATGGTCAGCACGAGGAGTAGTACCAAGAACAAGACGAGAGAAGGTGCTAAAGACAAACAGGTGGAGCCCACAATTGAAATCGATCTAGAGACACCAGACCAGAGCGTAGATGAAGTGGAGAAGAAGACAACGGAATCCACACCGATGCCCCATATGGAAGATCAGAATCCAAAAACCGTGGAGTTTTCGCCGATAGACGCGTTGGAAGACACAACAGGCAATACCCGAGAAACGGTGGAAGACGAC